GAATCACCAGGAGAAGGCAGTGGGATCTCAGATTGCTAGTGATACCCTCTCTAGTTCATCCTCTGGGCCATAGCCACCTTGCCTTCCACTTTAGCCTCTGGGAGAAAAGGCAGCCCAGCATGATTTCATTGCAGTGTATCAGCATCTGCTATAATTCTTCCCAAGACAAAAATTTCAGTATAATAATTTCTTAATTTCTTTCTCAGTGGGTAGACTGTAACATACTTTACTAGATTGATATTCCATCATACTATGAGGAAGTGTCTCAATAACAAGTCTCCTTAAGTGTGGTGCTAGAAACAAAGCACTATAGCTAGATTATTGTGTCAGGTGATTATTTTTATACATTGATCTTCTAGAAACAATTTAAAATAACTTACCTCATTCTGTATTTTTCAAAATACTTTGGTATCTTGCTGCTATTACAGGATAAACATTATGAAAGCTACAAAGGTTTGAAGCGAGTTTGAAAAGGAGATTTTATGAGAATACTCAAATGTGACATGTGCAGCTATATTATTGAATGTTCCCACTACTTCATTAAAGCAGCAATAATTTAGTGGAGCTTCAGATTTTGGGGTAGTCTTTAATTTCTCAAACAAGGGTGTTAATGTTTCTTATGATCAACGACAATGTATATTGAAGACAAAATGTCTAGCTGTAAGCTACAGAGTTAGCAAGTAAGTTCAGGGTAGTCGTAGTTTACATATCTAAATAGTATCAGTTCTTGCAGGTATGTTGGAGTTGTCTCACTTCATATCTTTTCCATACATCTTGCTAGCCGTCATTCAGTATAAATACAAAGTGAGTTTTATTAGTAACTTCACATGAATATTGCTTTGAACTATACTTCTAGGTAGGTAGCTGAGAATTTGCTCTTAAACTGATGGCTGTTTCTTTAGTTTTCTTTAGTCATGCTGTCCTGCTTTATTACTTCTCTTCTAATTTGACTGGCATTATTATGCTGGGGAATAAACAATGAAGTTAGTTGAAGTGGTTGGTAATCACTATTAAGTTAAAAAACCCAACCAACCAAAATAAAGCTCTAAGCTTAATTTAAGAATGTAGTGTTAAACTGAATCAAATATCAAATCTCTTGACTGAAGAGGAATCTATTCATAGATGCTGTTAATCTGTGTGGTGATGACTGTTGCAGTTGTGTTGTGCGTTGTCTGGGGACTCAGTCTCTGCAGTTTTGAGTTTTTGCTGCTGATATGCTTCCTTTAATAAGAAGGTTGAACTGCTCCATTCTTAATGTGAATATGCTAATATTTATGTTTATGTGACTAAACAGTGATGATAATACCTAATTTATTTTTAAGTGTAGTCCAACAAAAATTATAGGTATGTTGCTGGAAGTTTTTCTTGTTTTATGCCAGTCCTTTTCTAGCATGTAGCTTAAGGACACACAGGATTTTCTGGATTTAAAGTAATTTTTTCCCCTAGAGTAAGGGCAAGATATCTGGAAGGAATGGCAGATGCATAATAGAGTTACATGATATTGTTTTTGAGAAACAGTAGTTACTGGCCATAAGAAGCCTGGTTGTATGCAAAAATGTATATTGTTTTTGTATTGTGACATCATAGAGATTTGAGAGATTGTGGGCCTTGTGAGGCATGCAATAGATAGCCATTTATCTAACATTCACTTTGTTCTGTAAACTTTATTATCAAGCTTCCTTCCACAATTACAGCTATTTGATTTAATAATGATTACAATAAAATGCATCTCTAATTCTGCTTTAGTAATGTAAATAACTAAGGAAGATTTTTCCTTTGGAATAGATCTCATTATTTTATTACTGTTTCTTCTTTTCGCAAACATATTCTTTTATTTCTAAGTAAGAGCTGTAGTCTAAGTGTTGTGGTGACACAGTGTCTTATTCTACATTTAGAGTTTTATAATTTGTGGCTGATCATGATTTCAGTAGTATTAAGGTGCTATGTTTCCACAGATTGTGTGACCTTCTGCTTTGCCAAGATACAACTCAAAATTATGTCAGTGATAGATGAGGTTAAATACAAGTGGTATTGCCATTGACCTGTGGGTTACATATTCCTTTGGCTGTCTCTGCTGCCTGTTTATCAAGTTAATTTCTCTTTCCTGAATGAGGAAACACACATACAATAATTGAAGCTGTGACGTATTATACCAGAGCAAATAGATGGAATTTGTTCCCTAAGATACAAATGTATGTTTGTGCTAGTCATGTATATTACTCTAGATAATTGGAGTGAATAGCATGCAGTCTCAAGCTTAAATCAGATTTAGTGATGAGGTTCTTGAAAAAGAGAATGACTAGGATGGATAATGGTCCCAAAGCAGAAATAACTTACTATTTTATTTATTTTAAAGAGGTTTGGCAGATACAGTTTAATCTGCTAGTCATGTTTTCTTTATTCTAATATTTTTATCATTTCATCATTGTAGAGGAAATCAAATCTGCCAGCTTTAAAAGCTTGCTGGACATCATGTACATTAACATGGTGGACTAAAGTATTTGAGTGAAAATTAAACAGTATAATCCATAAATCCACATAACTGGCTTAGGGGGGGCTCTCCTTGCCCCCTCTTCCTTCACTCTGGATAGTCAAGTACTTTTGGAGTGTTCGGACTTGGACACCAGAGGTGTATAGCAGTAATGTTTTAGGTGGCTAATGAAAGTTAACTTTTTTAGAAGAAATTGGAGTCCAAACAATGCTCAAATAGTTAATTTTCAAGTCAAGACTTCTTTGATTTTTGTCAAGAGTAAAATAGGATTAAAATCATACTGGCTTAAAATGGATTTGCAATTTTATGACAGGGCAGCCACCTTAGTATTGTAGATTGCTTTAGTCGATTGAGCCCATTCAAATGAAAGTTTTTACTTGTCAACAAGTATAAATATCTAGGGATAGGCAAATATGAATCATACCTAAAAAAATGATTCTATTTTCAGAGTTTTAACCTTGAAAGGAAAGATGTTTAAATGTAAAGTAACTTAGTGGGATGGGAGTATGTGAATCTACTTTTTTGGCCACAAGTAAGTTTCCTCTTTGATGGAAGAGGAGGCAATTATATACAAGTTTAAGCAACATTTGGGTGACAAGCATTGAGTTCTGCTTGTAATTGGGGAGGGGTACTACTTTTTAAAAAGGATATTCGAGAATGGGGAGAAGATCTGTCAAGCTACTAGAAAGGATTGAATGGTAATCAAAATAATTATTAATCAAAAAACCAAAGATTAATGACTTCTTTAAATTCACAGCAAGACAACTAGGATACATCTTAAAAGCTTAGTGTATTTTCTTCTTTTGTTCTTCAGTGGTTTGAGCCAGAGTAATTAAAAATGGAAATAAAATACCTCCTCTTAATTGGTAATAAGTAGTGGAATATCTTGTCAACAAAATAGGGGGCTTCTTAAATTTCTAAAAATCAGAGTTTCTGTTTTTTTAATGAAACCAAGGTCTCTAAAAGGCTTATCCAAGAGTGCTTGCATTTATCTCTCTGTAGTGGGAGAAAAAGCCTCATTATATGTATGATTATATATAATCATATATATAATGGGTCATTTTGGAATTCTCATCTAATCAGAAGATCAAGTATTTAGGTATCTATCTGATAACTCAATATGATACTTTTAAATTGAAGAGCACTGTCTCATACCATATTTTGATAGAGGATGTAATATGGTTAATGCTTCTTCATCAGTAGCAATAAGCTACTCCTGTGAAGTCTTTCTGAAGTAGGTATGATTACGCATTTTAAGTACATTAGTATAGAGAGGAGTGTGAGTGATATATATTGAAAACCAAATTGTAGCTCAAGTCTTTTGAAAACTGAACAGTTAAACTGGATTTTTAGGGGTCTATCTTTAAATACTCTGACTTGTAAGAAAAGAGATTAATGAAAAGCCTCTTAAAAACTTTGCATTTGTTTATGTTAGTTTTGCTAAAACAGTGTTTTTTAATATTTGTTTTTTACCCAAAGCTGTAGCGAATACAATTAAAAATTTGTGCCCTCAGTATGTCACTATAGTAAGGTATGAAAAAGTGAAGGCTTTATGTACTTCAGAAAACACTCAGAGTTAGGGTTACTTTTGACCTACAGAGAATGAAGTTGAAATCCAGTGTTTCATTAAGGTGTTCTGAAAATAGGTTTGGTACTTCTGCATAGTGTGCAGTATTGTAATGTTGGACCCAGTAGGAAAAGCTCACAGGGAAATAATACATTTTCAGAGTATTAAATATTTGGAATAAAAACAGAGAATATGTACTGAAGAACAAAAACCAAAAATCTGGACTAACTAGCTTCCTTAAGTAAACAAAATTCTGCTGAATGAAGATGTCCTGTGTGTGTGAAAAAGTACAAGATGAGTAAAAGCAATGATACCAAGTTATTTTTAATTAAATAGACACACAATGCATATTGTACAAAAAGGTGGAAGTAAAATTGGATCGCAAGGCTTTAGCTATTTATATTTTCAAACTTCTGAATTGCCTGTTGCTCTAAGGTAGGTGTTCACTAAAAACTATAAAGTCCAGACTTAATGTATCATTTAGCTCTTGGCTTCATTAATCTCTTTGATTTTTTTAAAAATTATTTCTCTAGATAATAAGATGGTTTTATTCCTAAAGGTAGGAATAGCTTTAATTAAAAAAGTTTATGTGTATTTTTTTTTTGCACAAGAGCTTATTTAAACCTTTCTTCATAGCATTTTAAAACCTTGTTTCAATTTATGGTTACTAAGCTTAATAGATTGTAATTTTACATTTTTATAAAAGTCTCGATATCTCGCATAAGTCAAATATGTAATAGTACCATTTTAATTAAGTATTTTATGACTATCTTCAATATTTGTTGTGTCTTTTACCTGTAGTCTTTATGAGGTTTATTTTTGCTTTTATGTGAAAAATGTATTTTTAACTTAAGATGAAACTGAAATTGAGTAAGAATTTTATTGCTATATTCATTAATCTTTGTTAACCCTTTATCATTACTTTGTATTTTCATTTTACAGATGGAATACCTCAGGTTTATTATTTTGGCCCATGTGGCAAATATAATGCTATGGTGCTAGAACTACTTGGACCTAGTCTGGAAGATTTATTTGACTTGTGTGGTAGGACATTTTCTCTTAAAACCGTTCTTATGATAGCCATACAGTTGGTAAGTAGAATAGATGTTAATTTGAGTGTTCACTAGAATAAGTAAATCAGTCTTCAATGGATTAAATGCTTACTTCACTTAGGAGATTTGCACTTCTCATGTTTTAAATTGGTGTTGGTGGTATTTAAAATGCTTGTGCTAAAGTTTAAGCAGGAATACTCTTACATTACTTTAATTTACTTTGTTCCAGTTTTTCAAGTCAGATCATGAATGTAATTACTTGTGTCTTCTGAGTTCTCATCACAACCTAAAATCATGAATTTTAGTTTGACATACTCTTTCAAAAAAGGAAAACCTTGAAGAAATAAAAGTAATTTTATCCCACACAAGCAGTCGTATTATGGGACTCCTAAATAGCATAAATATTTTTTTCCTGCGCATTCTTATAAGAAAGTAAACAAACAAATGAAAAATTCCACAAATCCTTACAGAAATTAGAGTACAAAATTATTCAATGAAGAATTATTCTCGTTTTTGAAGATTTTTTCATTTGGTTCTGACTTGAGGGTGAGTGGAAGAGGAAAGAAGGACGATTCAGGCTCTGCATGTTTACCAGATTTCCACTTCCCTAAATATCACTATATTTTTACCTTTAATAATTAGTTAAAAATAGCTGTTTAAAACATGACTGTAATTGTATAACAGGCCTGCAACTACGGACATGCAGACACATTGAACTTATTTATAGCCAGAATGACGGAATGAGTTTTGTAAATGCTCAAGTCCTCACAAGTCCAAAGATCAGCTTTATTTAATGCTTCCTGTTCCTTTCTGAATATGGAAATTTTGATACAAAGCAGTCCAGCTAGAATGGACTTTATATGCATAGTGATGAACTTTCAGTGCTTCTCTCATTTATATATTTATTTATTACTATTTATGCAATAGATTTACATTGAACTTTGCTTGGTGACATAATTTCTGGTTTTGCTTTTAATGTACACAAAACATATTTGTGCTGGCTGTTTTGAGAGTCAAAAACTTCTGTTATGTGCAAGATTCATGACTAATGTCCGGTGTGAAAGTTTCTAATACATCAGTTGGTGTATATCTGCTTTGGAAAAGTGTACAGTTTTCATTGACTTTAACTGGGAGGTACTTTGTTAAGAACAGTATCGCTTTGGTCTTAAGATACTGGGGTGTGTGATTTCTTTTACACATGAAGCCCAATATAAGATATTTAGTTTCAAACACATCTTCATGTGGCAACCTGAAGCTTAAAGTAAACTTCCTTGTCTGTTTTTTTTTTTCTTTCATTAAAGATTTCTCGCATGGAATATGTGCATTCAAAGAACTTGATATACAGAGATGTAAAACCTGAGAACTTCTTAATAGGACGACCTGGAAACAAAACCCAGCAAAATATTCACATTATAGACTTTGGTTTGGCAAAGGAATACGTAGATCCAGAAACAAAGAAGCACATACCATATCGAGAACACAAGAGCCTTACAGGAACAGCTAGATACATGAGTATAAATACACATTTAGGAAAAGGTATGTGTGCTTTTTAGGTACAGAAGCAGCTGTGATTTGTCATAAAGCATCTTACTTTCAAGTTACAGTTTTTCTCAGTCTATAGTCATTAAGAACTTCAATTTTTGTGTATTGTGCAAAATATAGTTTGTCCTTACAGAAATAATGTTGATGGGAATAATCTTTTTTGAATTTCTAACCATCATGATCATGTCTTGGGAATTGTCCTCTTTGTTAGTTATCCTTATAAGAAAGATGAGGTATATCTTTTTGTAGCGTAACGCCTTCACATTTGTAAGTATACCATGGCAGAGTGAAGTGTCCAGGAAATAGATGTGCTTATTAAATACAGAAAAGTAAATAGGTTGCAATGACATGGGTTTTCAGTGCTTCCTTGCTTTTCTGATCTCTTTGTGATGCACCATAAAAAAATAAAGTAGCTTAGAGATGATGCTGATTTCTTGATTTTTTTTTTTTAGTGCTTACACTGTTAATTATGCTTTGTCACAGTCATTAAAGGTTATGCCAGCAAGCTAAAGAAATTATAGGATGTATATAAATATGAAAGTTGTTATTATTGAATTAATAAATTCACCTTGAAAAAGGTGTGAGCATTCAGATCTTCATTTATTCCAGCTGTAGAGAGATTTTTCTAGTGAAAACAGTTAGACCCCTTTGAATTTATGTAAGCCAGTTGCTTATCACTGCATAGTAATCACTAATTAGGTTACTCTTTGAATTGGTCATAAAAATGTTGCACAATACTGACAGTTTAACTGTAAGTATAACTGTTAATACAGCAAATGAGAAACCATTCACACTTCTCAGACAGGAATAAGGTGCTTTGTCAATAAAGCAGAGACGTGGAATCACGTAGGTTGGAAAATGTCCTTAAGGTCATTGAGTCCAACTGGTAACAGCACTGCCAAATTCACCACTAAATTATGTCCTTAAGCACCATATCTGTCAGGCTTTTAACATACCTCTGGAAATGGTGACTCAATCACTTCCCTGGGCAGCCTGTTCCAATGCTTGAGAACACTTCTGGTGAAGCAAATATTCCCAGTATCCAGTCTAACCTTGCCTGTGGCACAACATGCAGCTTTTTCCTGTTGTCCTATTCCTTGCTCTTTGGAAGAAGAGGCAAACCCCCACCTGGCTACATCCTTCTTTCAGGGTTGTAGAGAGTGATAGGTTCTCCCCTGAACCTCCTTTTCTGAACACCCTCAGCTCCATCAGCTGCTCTGGATCTGTGCTCCAGACTCTTCACTAGCTTTGTTGCTCTCTAGTGGGCATACTCCAGCACCTCAAGCATCAAGTTTGAGCTTTCTAAATCTAACTTTTGGAACTCAGGTGAACTCAAGTTCTTCAGATAAAAGAAGCATTCACTATATTTTTCAAGCATAAAGGCTGATGTCAGTTTAAGGTGGCCATTAGATTTTTGACACTGGGCTCTCATCTCCACCAGGCAGGATAAATGTCTGATTATTATAAAATTTTCAACAGTGGCACAACCACTTTTGAAATAAAATAAATTTTTTACTCCTCCTTAAATAAGATTGCCCCAAAACCTTTTAAGAAAAATAAACCAAAATGTTGAACTGGTAATTACTTGAAAAACAAACTGAATTTTGATTACACGTCTGATATTAACACTGAATGTGTTCATTTTTGTCCAATGATATTTAATCATAGTATGGTTTGGGTTGGAAAGGACTTCAGAGAGGATCAGTTCCAAACCCATTGCCATAGACTGGAACACCAGGTTGCTCAAAGCCCCATCCAGCTTCCCCTTAGACAGTTCCAGGGATGAGACATCCACAGCTTCTCTGGGCAGTGTGTTTCAGTGTCTTGCCACTCTCACACTGAAGAATTTATTTTAAATATTTAATCAAAACTTACTGTCTTACAGTATGAAACCACTAGTTCTGTCCTGTCACTGCTCCTTGTAAGAAGTTGGTCTGTAGCTTTCTTGCAGGCTCCCTTTGGGTTCTGGAAGGTGCTATAATGTCTCCCTGAAGCCTTCTCTTCTCTTCTCCAGGCTGGACAGCACCAGCTCTGAGACTGCCTGAATATCTTCATGGAATTGCTTGATCGGGTCCATGTCCTTCTTATCTTGGGGACCCTAGAGCTGGATGCTGCACTCCAGGTTGATTCTCACCAGAGCAGAGCAGAGGGGCAGAATCCCCTCCCTCACTCTACTGGCCACACTGCTTTGGTTGCAGCCCAGGACACATTTAGCTTTCTGGGCTGTCAGTGCACATGGCTGGATCATGTCCAGCCTCTCATCCATCAGCATGAGCAGGTCCTCACAGGGCTGCTCTCCATTCTTTGCCCAGGTTGTATTTGTGCTTGGGATTGCCCTAACCCAGGTACAGGTCCTTGCACTTTTCATTGTTGAACTTCATATTCACACAGGCTCACCTCCCAAGCTTCTCCAGGTCCCCCTGTGACATATCTTCCCTCCAGCATGTCGACAGCACCATGCAGCCAGATGTCATTGGCAGACTTGCTGAGGGTGCTCTTGATCCCACTGTCCATGACACCAGCAAAGGTGTTACCCAGCTCTGGTCCCAGTAGGACCCCTAAGGAACTGGTCTCCACTTAGACATGGAGTTGTTGACGACAACTTAGAGTGTGACCACTCAGTCAATTCCTTTTCCACTTGTTTCATCTGTCAAATCAGTGTCTCCAGTTCAGAGACAAGGATATCCTGTGTTAAGTGTCAAATGCTTTGCACATAGCCAGGTAGATGATGTTGGTTGCTCTTCCTTTATGCATCAACACTGTGTTGATGTGTTGAAGGCTACCAAATTTTTCAGGCATGATCTGTGCTTATTGGAGACATGTTGCTCATCATCGGTCATCTCCTTATTTTCCGTGTCCCTCAGTATAGTTACCACGAGGATCTACTTTGTGATCTTGCTGGGCACTGAGGTGAGTCTCACTAGCCTGTAGTTCCTCATGCCTTCCTTTTTTTCCCTTTGTAATAATGAGGGTTATCTTTACAGGGCTGTACTTCTCAGAGATTACTTCTTCAGATGATTCTTCTTCAGATGAATCTCTTCTTCAGAGAGTGCTTCTGTGATGTAGTGGATGTAAGGGGTAGTGTCTTCACCTGAGGTGTTCCCTAAGGACTCCTAGATGCACCTCAGCAGGTCTCATAGGCTTGTGCACCTTCAGATTCCTTATATGAGCTCCAACCTGATCTACAGTGGGTAGTTCTTCTTTCTGCCAGTTCCTGCCCTTGTCTTCTATGACATGAGTGATATGACTGGAATACATGCCAGAGAAGACGGAGGCAAGAAAGGTATTTTTTTGCCTCAGCTTTCTCCATATCCCAGGTCTGTTTCCTTCTGGAGAGGTCCCACATTTTCTGTAGTTTTACTTTTGTCACCAACTTACTTAAAGAAGCTCTTGTTGCCCTTGACATCCCTGGCCACATTTAATCCTATCAGGGCTTTAGCTTTCTTAAGCTGATCTCTGGTTGCTTAGACTATTTTTCTGTATACCTCCCAGCCTACCTGTCCTTGCTTCCCCTCTCTGTATGCTTCGTTTTTTTACTTTGGATTCATACAGGAGCTCACTGTTCATCCACCCATGCCTCATGGTTTTTGCTTGACTTTGTCGGAAGGCATTGCTTCTGGCTTGGAGAAATTCATGCCTGAATATTAACAAACTTTCTTAGGGCCCTGCTTCCCTGCAGAACTTTATCTCATGGTCCTCTGTCAAGCAGGACCCTGAATTGGCCAAGTTACATCTGCTGAAATTCAGGGTACTGAGCTTGCTTTGCTCCCTTCTCACTACTTACCCTGTAGGATCTCAAACTTCAGCATTTCATGATCACCACAGCTAAGGCTGCCCTTGAGCTTCATATTCCCCACCAGCCTCTCCTTGCTGATGAGAACAAGCTCCAGCATAGCATATCTACTTTTTAACTTCTCTGTCGCTTGGAGAAGGAAATTATCATCAGTGATAACTTACTGGATTGTTGATGCCTTGCTGTCTTGTCACAGAGTGGTTGAAGTCCCCCATGAGGACCAGAGCTTGTGAACATGAGGTGGTTCCCGTATCTTGCTAGACAACTGTTACGAACAAGTGTTTGAGATCACTTAAAAAATCGTCAGCATGGGTATCAGTAAAAAACTGATTTAATATTAAGCACAACAAAGTTCTTTGCAAGATTCACTCTGCTACTTACTTGTCAGTTACACCAAGGGTAAAGGGGAAAAACCCCAAACCCCAAGAAAATTCAGTCAGTCAAAACAGAAATGAACCGAGAACTTTCTAGGGGTGTGTGTTTAGGTGCATGTGACAAGTGACAAAAGGACAGTGAAGACAAGTATAAAAAAGAATACAGCCTAAAAGTTTAACAGCACTCAAAAGTATTTAACCTTAACTGGCATCTTTACTTATACCTTAAACTTAACAATTCAAGATAGGAATAACACTTATCAGCATTTAACCTAATTTATAACTTAACCTTACTAGTTACCTTACAGGCCTAACTTACTTTGATATCCAAGATACTTGAAGATCTAAGAGAACAGCATTTCTCCCAAAATTTGCTGTAGTATGTGTGTATGTTTATGCACAGAGTCAGTGCAAGGTACCTATGAAAAATTCCCCTTAAAGGCAGACAGTTACTCACTCCGAGTGCTTTTGCATTGTGTAATTCTCCTTTGTGCAGAGTTGAGCCTTGAGGAGTGGGAGTATTGGCCCATGATTCATTTTTGTTCAGCAGCCTTCTGAGTACGGCAAACTTGAGAGTTTGTGGGCTCTGAGAGGGCCCACTCGGAGAGAGGCTGCTGGTCACAGCTGCTGCAGTCCAGACTAATTCAAAGATTCTCATTTTAGACCACTGTTTGTAGGGTCGCAAGAGAGTGGGCTTTAGTCATAATTATATTTCATCCTAGCCACAGCATGAGTTGGTGGACTTTCTTTGAAAGTGTGAGAACAGGGATGTTGTGCTACACAAGGAAGAAAAATAGTTTCCAAGGCTGCTCATAAAGAAAACATGA